AAATAAAATTTTTGTTGTTGTATTTCACTACTGTTCGAAAAAACCTCTTTATTAAATAAATTATGTTAATGAAGTTTATAAAATATATTTAATATATTTTTGTCTGTCAAAAGAGGTATCATATATTGCACTTAAAAATGTTGAAAATATTTTTATTTATAGATTGGTAAGTAAAATTAAAATGAAAATAACTTTAAACATTACTTACTATGGTATAAGGATTTACAACATTCAAGGATTTTTAAGTACAGTTAGCTGGCGCTTTGAACTTTTATGTACATATTCGCTTAAGTTAAGTTTAAGCACTGAAAATGACATGCTTTCCAGTTGCATTAGCAATGTGTTCGACTAATGTTAAACAGTACTTTCCCGTTTAACATTTAAATTACTGTCAACTAAATGTAACAATCAATGAAGTGTATGTAGACTTTTGTCAATGATTTTTTTAGGTTTTTTTCGAATAACTTCGTTAATTTATATTGATGAATGAATTTTCTTTTGTTTATTATTATTAAAAAACAGTTCTAAACAAAACTGTATCATTACTTTTTTCTATTATGTCTTTGGATTTACGAGCTAGCAGAAATGGGGGGTGTATGTAGAGTTTTGTCGCTGACTGTATATAATATAATTGTTATTAATTTTTATGTAATACAACAAATTTAAAATGAAGTAAAAATAAAGCTAATATTACTACTACTTAGAAAATATTGTTTACAATTTATTATTAGATTTTCCAGTAGAATAATTTATTATTCATTTCTGTCCTTTTCCATTTCACTGTGCAATGCATACATTTGAGTTGAATTGAGGGCTATTATTTTTGAAGAGAAAACACGAAGCAAAAATGCAAGTGTGGACAGTGGACACTATAAACAAATGCTATAAGGTTTTGGAAATGCAGCTGAAGTATTTGTCAGAAGAACCGAAATTGGTTGCGTATATTCGAAAATGCTATTCTACATAAATTAAGAAATAATGCTTCAGTTTTCTTTATTGTTTATAAAAGTCTCATATATTCAATTATTTTTGTTTTTGACGACTTTGTTAAATTTCACGCCGATTAATTCAAATATATATTATTTAAATATAATATAACTACATGACTTTAAATATAATACAAATATAACTACAGACTACCAACGATTAACTGTTATATATCACAATAAATCTCTAAAATGTTGCATTTAAATGTTTATTATGTTTATTTTAGGGATTATTTTTTAAAAAAAAGTTATTCGATGCAGATTTCGTTCTAAAGCACAAATAATAAAAATTATACTGCACAATATATGTAACCCATTTTGATTTAGATATAAATATAGCTACCGTAGGAAAGCATTGTCATAGTTCCTTAAAGTCTCAATAGTTAAATTATCTCAACTAATGGGATATTACTTTAAAATTGTTATATTTTTTTTTGTAGAAACATCAAGAAAAGTATCAAAAAAAAAAAAAATCTAGTCTATACAGTTAACCACGGTGGGGATTCAGTGATGGTGTGGGGGTGTATAGCGGCAAGTGGAGTAGGTTTATTTGGTGTTTATGTATAAATATATTCATATATATATATATATATTAATATAATCTATATATATATATATATATATATATTTTATTATATATTATTATATATTATTATTTATATATATATTTTGTATATATATATTATATATTATATTTAGTGACATATATATATTCTATACATATATATATTACATATATATATGTTACATATATATATGTATACATATATTATTTATACAATGTTATTTTATTCATTATATATTTATACATAATAATTTAACATATTATATTTACATATATTATATTTATACATATATATATTAATACATATATTATTTATTATATATATATATATTTTTTATATATATTATATATTTATATATATATATATATTATTCATATTATTTATATTATATATTTATATATATATATATATATATTTATATATATATATATTTGATAAATAGAATTTAATTTTTATTTAAATGTAGTTTTAAATTTTATTTTTACAAGAAGTTATTTTCAAAAAATATTGGTTATAAATTTTTTGTTGATGTTCTGAAACGACGTTAAAATGGCAATAAAATATTCAGCTGTTCTTGTAAATATGAAAGGGAATGCAAATTTAAAATGTTTGATTTATGAGCAATAAATCCCTGTATCCGACCCACAAAATGAACATACTACTTTATACAATTCTCTGGCAGACGAAATATATTTTTAGCTAAGATCTCACAACATTTCAAGCAAGAAGTATAATTACTGTTGGCAATATTTAAGGTAAACAAAAAATTTTAACCACCAGAGACTCTTTGGGTTCTGTTAAGTCAATGCCATTCATTAATTAATTATTTTATTACCGATTGAAATGCAAATCAAAGCACTCAACAATAATAAAGGAAAATTAATGATAGAAAGGAACTCAAATCAATTTATTATTATTAAATGCATAAGTCATCCGTACGCTATATTTCAACATCAAATATTCGTAAATGTTTACCATCGACTACCTAATGAGCTATCGAAGTCTAGTTTTTGTTAATTTTATGGGAAAAGTTAGTAAGGCAGTGCAAGGCTCCAAATTCTGACAACATTAACAACTTTGTCAACAGGAATTGTTTGACTTGATTTCATGTTGCTACGTTACAAATTAGGACTCCAGATAGGCACAGCAATTGCCATTTAATAAGCCATAAAAGTGGTAATAGTCAAATGAACTGGCGCTGGTCGCGATCCAAAAGCAACAACCTTAAATTTGGTAAAAACTCACAAAAATAAATGCCACGTATTAGCAACATGTTAGGCTATTGTTATGCTTGCTGTTGGTATCGCAGCAATTTAAAATAAATTTACCAATCAAAACAATTTTACACACAAAATAATAATAAAAAAAAAAAAACTTTAATGTTGCACACACTGCTCACTGCCAACAATTTGAGGCAGATGCAATCGCACATGTTGCTCTTAAAGCTGCAGCAATTACTGTTGCTGTTGCTGTTGTTGGTGCTGACTGCTGACTGCTGACTGCTGTTTTTGCTTGCCGTTATTATTAGAGTAAATAATAAAATGATGTCCATATCACAGGTTGTTTGTATGTTGAGATGTTGTTGTTGTTGTTGTTGTTGTTGTTGCTGTTGCTGTGTTACTGTTTGTTCATTGTCAGACAAATTTAAATTGTGTTGTTGTTTGCTGAAGTACTTTGAAATGTATTCGCATCCAAAGTTAATCGCACCAAGTGTTGCATCCCACATAGTACATGGGCACCAACATGCAACGGATCAAAAAAAAACAGTTAATAGCGGCAGATAATCTATTTATTCTTTTTCATTACATTTAACATCGCAGATGCCATTAATAAACTTATCATTAAATTGTAAATATTTTCAAGCAATTGAGAAATTTCTTTGAAAATGAGTAAGTTTTAATAAACTGAAATAAGAAAAACCGATTCTATTGTACATGAGAAGTAATTCTATTGTATAATTTCAAGGCCAATTACAACAAATATGAGATCCACTTATATTTTATCAATATATAATATATACATATAAACATATATATATCAAATATGTAATTATTTTATTGACTTTCTTTTCAAATTTCAAATCGATCGTTATTGGAAATTATGCAAATGCTGTTAGGAATAGTATATGAGTTAATAGTGTGTTTTACGTATATACATGTCATTAATTTATTGATATTAATTTGTCGTCTATAGCGTAGATACAACACACATTACCAGCAAAATTTTTCTATTCCGGGAGCATATTGTACAATTGTACCGACACAGTTGTTATATATACAACATGGTCATGTCTTCACAATCAAAAGTATCGGTAAGACAGATTCTTTCATGATGTAATGATGTACTGTTATCATTTCAGAATATTTGAACGGATAGAAGAGGAATTATTATTTCTAAAAGTTCGTCGGTTGGTATATAATATGAATGGGCATTGAATAAAAATTTAGTTTTACTGAAGCAATTCAAATGATGAACTAAGTTTATGGTGATGATTCAGTGACATAGTTTATAAGCAGTATATGTGGTTTCAAAACGGTAGTGATATCAGAAATGAAGAGAAAAACATCAGCTAATAAATTTTTAATCATAGCATTAAAAATAAGCTGAAATACTCATTGAAGTTTACGAAATAGGAATTGAGCATCTCAAATTCATGTTTTGGAATTTAAAGTGCCTAAGAATTATTGCAGGATTATTGTCCGGTCACTGTAGATTAAATAATCACCTATCGAAGTTAGGAATTCAATCCAAATTAGACTGCAGATACTATAGAGACGAAAGAGAAATAGCATACCATGTGTTTGGGGAGTGCCCGGCACCAATGCACAAACGGAGAAAACACCTAGGAGGGTATTTCATGGGTCATAAGGATTCAGAGTAGAAAAGATAGGCTTTATACTGTGATTCATTAAAGAAATCGGATTTGGACACTCTAATCCGACTAAAAAGCACAAAAGATCTTTTAGGTGGCAGTGCACAATCCCTTCCTTTCAATAATATAATACAAAGTGAGAAATCTATATCACCATTTCAGCATATGTTTTTAATCCTTATTCTAATATAATAGATAGATATATGTTTTTATAGTTCAAGGATTCAAATGAGCGTTCCATTGTAGTGGACAGTCAAGTAAGCTTATTATATTAAAAAATTTTTCCATTACATGAAAAAATTATAGCTTTGTAAATAAAATGTTATAATGTTTCAAAGCATCAACTAGATATATAAAGTATATCCTTGGACATATGATAACGTGGTAACGGCCCTGAACGGATTTCGAAATATATTAATAGGATTTTAAAATATATATTTCGTGACTCAAAAAAAAATTGCTAATAAATAACAAAAATATTTATTATAAAAGGCCAACGTTTTTTTTTGACGTCACCTGGCCACTCTTAAAAATCGAAACTAATGGTTAACAATAGTACGTTTGAATGTCCATTTGTTAAGAATTGAAACACAAAACCAATGTTGTTGCTACAAACACAATTATATAAAAATTATATAAATTAGCAAATTTTGATATTGCATAAGAAAAGAAATATGGTAAGACATGATGTCTTTATTATTAAATGACTTACTTGGAGAATCAGCGCCATACATTGGACTTTCACAATCCACAATAAAGTTTTCATTGTCGGAATCATTGCCTGGCAATATAGTTGTTGCTCCTGGTACGTAGGGTTCATTGATAGCAGTAGTTGCAGTGTTGCTCGAGGGACTTGAATTTGAAGTTGCTGTATCGTCTTCATATATTTGATTATCTATTTTGACACGTTTATCAGAAATGAGTTGCGAAGAGTCATCGTCCTGTGTGGGAGTTGCAGGTATAGTTACACCACCAGTTAAGGTTTCCTAAAATAAAACGATGTATTTAATTGTATTCTAATGCATTCTGTAATTCATATTGTGTTTTGAAATAAATTAACAAATATCGGATATGCAGCAATGTGTAAGAATTTTTTTTGTATTAAAAAATTGGATTTAAGTACAGGTCTGTTTTCAATATCTACAGTTATTTTTCTTTTAATAGATTTGAATATATAACATCCTTTCACACAAATAACGAGTGCATGCACATATCTTTAATCACAATTAATATATTCTATATTAATTTTGATTACCTGTTTGTAACGTTACTAACATTTGTTTATATCGGGACAAATTGTTTTCACAAAGCAATATTGAGATATCAGACTATGTGTATAATAGATAGATGTTTATAAAGTAAATCGGTGGCGAAGGGACTCTATGTAAGTCTGGTGCTGACCAAAAAGATTAAGTCAGTTTTTTGTAATACAAGATATTTGGTGTTCATCATAGAAATCAATCTATCAATACAACGCGTGGTACTGATTTTGAGCACTAATTTCTTTATTTACTATTCCTCCTAACTCTAGCACTCGTTGAGTTTATTCTGTTTTGAAATCTAAAGAAAATTATAAAGACAAGCTTATTTTTAGGAGTCCGTGACAAACCTTTTTATTTACAAGGGATCAAAAAATTGATAAAACGTTGAAGGCTGAAAAGACAGTATATATTGAGTAACAAAACTTTTACTTTTTTTTTTGTAGAAAGTATATCTTAATAATCACATTTTTTTTGTGAACTACAAGCAACAAAAATTCCTTTTCATATTATTTTAATTAATTGAATTTTTAGCTGACCATACAGTTGTTTCGAGTATTACCAACTACCCATCATGCGTGATCTTGGAAGTAATTCTTGTATTTAATTAATCGTAAATAGTTTTTTGAGACTACATGAAAATAATTTAATTTGCTTGACCTGTGTAATGATCAATTTCCATCTTTGGTGGAACAATGAAGATTGGATCACATCCATTTATTTATTTGTAGAATCAGTGAGTTTTAATTAATTTGATGCCCGAAGAAATTGCCTTATCTCACACCCTACTTAATTGGTTCTATAGTGGATAATTTGGATTATTAATATTAAAAATTTAAATATGACTGCAGTTTTCGTAAAATGTATGGCATCAATTGCTGTCGTTTAATTAAAAAAACTGCTTCGCATATAAAAATAATAATAATAATAAAACAAAAAGTTTGCAGTTCTTTTTATGATTGCATTTAAATTCACAAAAATTACAACCTGGAAATTCGTTTCTGTGTACTATATAACTCATTTCCGATGACTCTACCAAGCCAAGCGCAATGTACCCAAAATAAAGAGTTCGTTGCTATATACCACAGAAGCGCGTGGTATATGAACTTCATGCATTGTTCGCAAATGAAAAGTATTCCTTGTCTTTGTTGGGCAGGCAGAAGTCGTCTTCAGCTTCTTTCAGTTTAAAGACTGATTTTTATAAAAATCTAGTTTTTATTTAAACATCATTCTATATAAATGAATATTAACTATAGCCAAAGTCAGTGTTCCATTGAACGCACAAAATCATTTAGCGAAACCGGCCAAAGAAAAAAGAAATATAAAGTTTTTACTTTGAGTTTTCTTTTTTGTTTTCTTTTTTGAAGGCAACACAGAGGCAAATAAACACCTTAAGTCTTAATACTAACCAAAAGAGGGATTCAAAATATAACAAAATTCTACTTATACTTCATGGACTAAACAAACTTAACAAACTAGATAAACCCTGAACTAAGTTCAAAGCCAAGTTGAAGTCTGCCAGTCATTCATGTTTATACGCACTTTGGCAACAAGTGCTACAAATTGGATTGGATTGCTGATTTCTGTACTTTGGTTGCTCTTCATTCATTCAATATACTAGTATATGCTATGAGCTGCTCTACAGAACATTACTATGTGGTACCGGCTCACATGACCATGACGCCGAAGTAGTATAATAACATTATATATGTAAACAAATATGGTTTATAATGTAAAGTCAATGTAACTTTGCTTAAAAGAGATCGTTTACTTTCATTAAGAAAAAACAGAGTCGTAAATATACGTAACAGAATAAAAAAGAACGAATAAAGAATAAAGAACTCAAAATATTACAAAGAAGTTGTGGTTTCTTTGCTTTGTTTTGAAAAATAGTTCAGGTCAGATGCAAATTAACAGCCAACAAGTGTAAACTTGGCTTTAAGTGTTTGGTTAACATTACTGCTACCAAATTTTTATCTCTCTATTTAGATCGCAGTGAGGATCATGCATGAAAAAGGCTATTTTAAAATATCTAAGATTAAAATCAGGAGTCCAGAAAACAAACGCGGAACGGAAGTAGCTATTGTTAAATAGAACAATAATTTCATAATTAATTAAAACTGCTATTAAGTCAACTAATTTGAATTTTAATTATTTGATTATTTTCTTTTTTATTCTCTATTTTATTATAATGATTAATTTTTTTATGGAAAGTCAAGACTTTAAGAAAAGTTTTACTCATGTCGCATACAAACTAATTACATAGTTTATGTTAAATTCATGCAGATCTATTTACTTCATTGAGAAAACTTAGAAATTGGAATTTCCCATTAGTGATAAAAATTTTAACACACTTAATATGAAGTCTAAAATTATGTTTCTACATATCTTGGCACACCACTAACTGTGCCAAATAAAACGAAAAAGTTCGACAAGTATTAGCTCAGAGAAAGTAATTACAGAATGGGTTCATCATTTACAACAAAATGTCTCCAATCAGCCTGCACAACATTTTATATAAGAAATATTTATATTCATTTAATTATAGGAATGGGTTTTTGTATCTTAAAAATACTATGAATACTATCTGCTAACTATGAAACTCCAATAAGATTGGGCAGTGGTCCAGAAAATATTGACTTTGAAATTAAAAATTCTCATTATTGTGGATTATAAGATGTATGAGTATGATAACGCAAATAAGAAAGTATTCTTATACCCGTTTGTAAACCTGGAGAATTAAAACGTTCCCTCGTTGTATATGAGGGTAAATCATATAAAATGTTCATCAAAAAAATGTTGATATCGTCTCGAAAATGTTGATTTGCAGAGTCTTCAAATTTTTAAAATTAGTCTTAAACATAATGAAAATATTTAAAATAAAAGAACAACAGAAGACACTTGTAAAAAACAAAATCGGTTGCTTATGGACTTCACTCACTTAAACATAAAAAAGAGATCCTCGTTTAAATTGTACTTACATTCCCCAAAATTCATATAGAAAATTACCAATATGATTTAATTGAAATCAAAAATATTTACGGAATTCTATATTTTTATATACCGATTTAGTGCAATAAAATAGTTTGTTCAGTAAGGAATTTTTATATTTTCTCTGTTAACCGAGTAGTACTTACTTTTTTAGTTCCCCGCATCTTCTTATCAATGTTATTCAAGTCTTTATTATTTACGGAAGTTCCATCATTTGGTTCAATCTTTTGCCGATCTATGTTATACAAAAAATTACAAAAATTATGTTTTACACAAAAAATAAAGAAAAAATATTTGTTTGTTGTTTTTGTTTTCTTAAAATACTTACATTTGAGTTCTATTTCCGCGTCATCTAAAAGCAATGAAACCACTTCCTTGGGTTTAAGAGTATCTGGTTTAAAGTTGCCGCCACTTATAACCATACGTTGTATCTATATGAAAAGAATTGTATAATACTTAGCTTAAATTTAAATGATATATCGAAGGAGTAGTAAGAAAAGTCTTTGCATAATTTTTAAATAATCCTGAATATATCCATTTTTTTAGCTAAAGATTTTTTAGCTATACTATACCTGTTCTTACTTTAAATATATTTATAAATAAATAACTGAGAGATAAATATTCGCATGTTCTCCAATTTATTAGAAATGAAAACTACTTGATCTCGTTAATGATCATTTTCAAAAAATTTATAAATTTTCTCTTTCCATTTTTGAGTAGTCTTTAATTTATTCATGCAAAACTACAGACTAATGTGAAAAATAGAGGTATGAAAGAGAAGGCGTAACCAAACGTCGCCTACAAATATAAATAATTGAATAATTAATTTCCGGTATCAACGGGAAAAGGCAAAACATGTTCTGGTATTAAAACCCACAAAGTACCATAAAAAACTTGAAGTGATCGTGTTCCTTCCACAAATTAATGAAAACAATTCAAAATAATGTATGCTTTTAAGTATATAATTGAAAAAAAGAACATGTTTATTTACGTGGAGGGTTAAAACAGGGAAACGCACGTGCCTAATATGCGGGCCATGCCAGATACCCTTTGTTATAATTTCTGTGGGATTGCTTTACAACTTTCATGCGTTGCTTGCGGTTTTTTGTCGATGACGACGACGGCGACGATGACGATGACGATCTTGTAGTTTTGCTCGTTTATTACTACTTATGTTACACTTTTTTGTGGTAATGGTGTACTTGTAAATTTTTAGTGATCATTACAACACCACCAACGTTGCTAACACCTACCTCACTCTTCTCGCGTGCTCTTTGCAGTATTCGCTCTTCGATGGAACCTTTACAGATCAAGCGGTAAACTGTCACTTGCTTTGTTTGACCTAAACGATGTGCGCGATCCATAGCTTGCTGATCTACAGTTGGATTCCAATCGGAGTCATAAAATATTACCTGAAAATATTAAGAATTTGTTTTTAGAATTTTGTAATAGAAAATAGTTTTTCTAAAATATTGCTAGATATTTGGTATGCTGCCACGTATTTGCAATGGAAGAATTAAATAATTAAAAATTCTTCATATAATGCGTGCACAATCTTTATACAAATATTTTTTTAATAATACCGTTTGATGAAAAAGAGTCGAATGAAGAAGATTTAGAAATAAGAAAGAGATATGCAGTGGATAAGTGCCGAAGTTTGAGTCTGGCAAGACTATCACAGTGAAACAGAATGTGTTCTGCTGTTTCCTATTCTTCACAACAAAGTCTGTAGCTATTGTTTTTTAGTAATAAATAGGCTTTTTAGCTCCGCAGCGCCCAGTGAGAAACCCTATGACAAGTCGTCTGATTTTTCGTTTCCTTTAAATCCGCTGTGCCCTGGGATCCATAATAAGTGAACGCTGTTCCTTTCAGCAAGGTCTTTGAGAATTAAACTAATGGCTTAATTCTAATATCTCAATATTATAGCTACATTAAACTCGATATTATTTATAAAAATCTGTGATGCATTTGAAGTTCCCTAATATAAGATTGAGCTTAGTTAAGCGAGTCCTAATGGTATTTACCGTGCCATCATGGGTTACAACGACAAAATCAAAAACAAACATCGTATCTCCGGTTGTAAGTCTCATCAAAAATATAAATTCATAAGAATGAGACTTACTGATTATTTATTATTGGAATGAGAGTTTCTGTATATTATCAAAATGATAAATTCATATAGAATGGGACTTACTGATTATTTGTAATTAGTATGAGAGTTTGTATATATTTAACAACTATTAAAACATTCAATACTGCTTCCCAAAGTTACTAAACTACAAACAAATTATTAACATAAATTGTGTACAAAAATGAAAGCTTAGTTTTTAATGCTAAGCTATTCTACTATTAAGTTTTAAATTCTTATATTCTATGTATTTATTATCTGTTCAAATCTGTTCTATCAGAATAAAATGTTTGTTGAAAAAAGAATACATCAAACTAAAAATGTGGTTTTCTCATGCCCCTGTACTCGTAGTAAACAGTACGTAAATCATGTTTAAACAAATTATGAAGACTCATCCTTAAATTTATAAGCCATTGAAATGCTACTGAGTACAACCACGTCAATTAGCAGAAGCGGCAGACGATTCGCAGATGAAAATCTATAGCACAAATAAATTGAATATTATAGCATTCGAACTATGGGATTTGCATTGGTGCGGGTAATACACATTAAGTGATTTATGCAGGAACCATTGCAGCGTAATTTATCAATGTCAAAATAAAAAAAAATTCAAAATAAATAAATTGCACGTATTTCATATTAAGCAGATATTAACAAAATAAATGCTAGTAAAACATTTAGGCAACTACATAAAATATTTAAAAAAGTAGCAAGTAATCCAAGCACATTACCATAGAGTGAATACACAAACGATACGAAATTAAAATTTTAGACGTGGCTATTTGCGGCAATTGATAAAAGACTGAAATATTCTTCAATTGGATTCTTCAATAAATTTGAATTTCAATCAAATTGCTTTGATTAAACTGAATTTTAATTCAATGGATTGAAAGCGGAAATGGTGTTAAGTAGCAAAGGGTACCAATGTAGGCATTTAAAATGAGCAACTGTAGATTGGACCGAGTCTCTTAATTTTCCTTATTAGATAGAAAGGGTGATGTGATAGATAGAGGCTGGAATACAGTTTTGTCATTACATTTTCTAAACCAAAAAAAATCATATCATATTTCAATGAAAATAATATTGAAAAAAGATTTCATTTCGTTTACATAGACTTTCCGAAAAGTCCTTTAAATTTATATACCCTGCACGTGTTTTCATATTATAAAATGGAAAAATAAAATTTCCCGGAGTTCAGAATACTACGGAAGTTGGTTGCATCTAATCAAATTAAAAAAAATTATATTTTCATCATTTGAAATTAAACTGACAAGTTCTCAACTACACTGATTTGACGCCTACCAATTTTCTTCCTCTCTTCACAAACACTTAACCGAAAGGCTGATTATGTACTGCAACTGAGCCACTTTTAATTCACTGATTTTTTATGTTTCTTTGTAATGAAATCTCAAGGATTATGTATTTCAAGACTAAAGTACTAACACACGCACTGCAGAGTACGTGGATTTCTATATTCAGTTCCGGTCTGAAAGGGTTACAGCGATTTATGAGACTTGTGTAAGGATAATTGTATGCAGCGCTTTTTTCGGCATCTCACATAATTGTTTTGCGAACGCTCCGAAGTATCTATTGTCTATTGTCTATTGTCAATGAAATAGACATTTCCCAATTAATGCACGTGTTTCGCATTTTAAAATTAGCTCCATTAGAAAGACGATATTCGTGATAATGCGGGTAATAGCAGTTTCCTGTCGGAAATATTAAAAATGAAATGACAACGTTTAGGTGAAAAGATGAATGTATTTTCTAACTCTGTTTCTGAGTATTTAATTTAAGATATAATAATTGTTTTAGTAATTATAAGATCACACAACTTCAATATGAAAAAACTATTATATATAGTAGTATACCATATATTTGATTTATATATTTGGATTATAAATGGACAATACATTGGATACATGTTAAACATACGCCCAAATATACATCATTTTGGGTTTTTAAACAAACTTTGGCACAGTTACATAAACATGTCCTATACACTATATACAAATGGAATAATATTATTCTTTGCAGTACTTTCCGTTTTTTCTCTTCTCTAGAATAGGTTTATGTTTTAGATTTATTACTTGGGTTTGTTAGCCTACTGATAACATCTGTTAGAAACTCACCTCATCGGACAAAAATCGAACAGAGTATCGTGATATTATTCTAATTTTTATGCTTCTACATACACATAATGCACTTATAATAGCTACTATAATGACAATAATAAATTAAAAACGCTTAAATAGTCAGAAACTGTACATATCGTCTAGTCTATACGCATTATACGATTCACGTAATAGAGTTATTATCACCTTTTCTTCAATTTTTTCTTTTCAAAGCTTGACCAATTTCATTTCGTTCAATCAATAACCCAAAAATTTACTATTTTTATACTATCCAATATGTATGGCAACAAAAAACAAAATTCCAAAAGCTTGCTAAATTAAAGGCGTTGAGAGGCAGCACCAAAGGCAATAACTTTCGCATTAAAGCAATGATTTCAATCAGGATGATATGCTTGATGACTTCGAACATTTTTTGATACTAGAAGAACACTTCGGCTCTAAGCCTCTGATAGCCATTGAAGATTTTGATGTCATCGAATGAATGACTCTTCGAATGAATGACCAAGAAATAATAAAAACTCTTGGGGTCATCTGGACTCCAGTGGGACAAAAAGAATAATGTTAGCAGAATTATCCAAGTTGTTTGATCCCCTTGGGCTTATTAATCGGTTAACTGCAAAGGCGAAAATTTTCCTGCAAGATCTTGAAAGCTAATTGGGATGAGTTTTTAGAAATAAATCTCTATAGTCAATGGACTATAGAGATTCAGGCCCTTGTTTTGAAGAAGAGAGATTGTTGTGAGTGGCCACCAAATAAGTCCAGAAAGAATACTAATGATGACAAAGAATAAAGTCGTAATAGTACGTTAGCAACTGATAATGAATCTACTGAAAAAAATATATCTAATGAGACATGTGAGGCTAGCTTTAGAGACAATTCAAAGCCTTGTTTTGTAAAATGTGTTAAAACTTGTAGCAGCTTTGAAAAATTACAAAGAATTTTTGTCAATCTTCTTGGGTTTTGAAAAGGCATTATGTTTATGACTGAAAGATAAGATGAAGCCTTGGTGCGTATATTCTACTGTGTGCAACAACATTATTTTAGAGAAGAATTGCATTGCTATTGAAGAATCGTGAATTACCAGCAAACAGTAAATACAAAAACCTAAGCATATTTGTAGAAAATACATATGGTGCTCCGCTGCTACGTGTTGGTGAGAGATAGGCGAATACTGCATCATCGTATGATGCTAAACATCAAATATATTGTTACCAAATACGATTCTGGTATGCAAGTGTTAATGGCCATAGCAGTGGTTGGCAGCTGTTTTGGATCTTCCATGCTAGAAGAGTAATACGTAAAATTTCTGGCAGTTGTATAATGTACAATGCTTTAGTTGCCATCCAAAATTTACATTCGTTTACAGAAAACAAACAAGCGCCGTCAGATCATTCTTCATTTCCATCAAAACAATATGAGTGCTCACACATCTCGTCTAATAACCGATTTGAACATTCAAAAAATCGACTTGATGGGTCATCTGCCGTACAGTCCTGGTTTGGTACCCAATAACTTCTTCTTGTTCCCGAACGTCAAGAGTAAATTGCGTGGACAACGCTCATGATTTTTGTCGACGGAAGAAGCCGTTGTTGCATTTGAAAGCCATGTTTTTGAGGTGTCTGAATAAGATTCGAAGAAATGCTTTGACAAGTGGTTCAAACGGATGCAAATATGTATCATAAAGGAGAATACTTCAAGAAACAATAAAGCAACTTTCAACGACAAGTTAATATTTTTTCATTATCAAACTCAAAATATAAATAGTGACCCTAGTACATTGATCTTTTTTTTTGTTTTGCTATAAAACCTGTGTATATGGAGGTGTTCTCTGGTTTGATTGCAAAAGCTTTCCTGGCTTCGTTAGAGATTTGTAGCTCGCTGCAGATTGTGCTTAAAATTATTTTGCGACAATGCCACGAATTTTGTGGCACTTGCCTTTAATTTAAGAAATTGAAAGCAAGTTTTTGGATTAACAGATTCAGAGCAAGATTTCCAAATATTGTGCTGTTAATTGTATTGAATTTCATCATATACCACCCAGATTCTCCACTTTGGTGGACTGTGGGAAGCGGCTGTGAAATTAGCAAAATATCATTTGGCTAGAATATTGGATCAATCGCATTTTATGTTTGAAGAGCTGACAACAGCAGTTTTTAAGGCGGAAGTAGTTTTAAATTCAATACTGTTGACAACCATATCTAAGGATTCAAATGACAAAAGTATTCTTATATCTGCACATTTTTTAATGGGTGGTCCGTTGGTTGGGATTGTTGAAGCTCTGTGGACAGCAAACAATGGTCACATGTAGATTAGATGGCTACGAATTTCAGCCATACAACAGCATTTTTGGAGAAGGTGTTCGGCAGAGTATCTCTATGAACTTCAACAGAAGGTCAAGCGGATTAAAAACCAGAACAATTTTAATGAAGGTGATATGATGTTAATTGCAGAAGAAAATTTGCCTTCTAAGCACTGCCTTATTGGGAGAGTGGTGAAAGTGACAAGAGATACTAAAGGTTCTGTTTGCGTTGCTGATGTTAAAATAAAGAATAGGAAGATTCGTCGAGCAATACATAAGTTGGCAACTATTCCCTATGAATGTTGATGTCTATTGGAGCTGTCAAGGGCGACAATATGTTTAGATTTAAGATGAAATAATGTACATTGTATTGTAGCCTTACGGTGATTGTCTTATTTTTGTTATGTTGAAATGTATTGTGTCGTGACGTTTTTTGTACTCTGAACTATGGCGTTTTATGGTTAAGTGAAATAAAAACGTGTATTGAAATGAATTAGCTTCTCTTTGTAAAATTAATTATATTAAGAGAAGACGTAAAGCAATAAAGATCCATAAAATAATATGACTAAACGTAAGTTCTTTAAACTTAAAAGTCAAAGTATGTGGTTGTTGTATGCCTGTTGTCGAGTATGATAATTTTTTTTATCTTAAAAATGAAACTTGAAAAGTTCTAATTAATTTAGTGAATAATCTCTATCCGTCTAATTAAGAGCTTCTTTTTAGGAATTGAAATCATTTGTGTACAAGAACAAACCAGTCCTTAGGAGCGTCGTAAAATAGTCTTTATGGACTGCATTATTTTCCCAAAATGTGCACTAAAATGCGCATCTGAAATCGTCCAGCATTTTACAAACTATTGAAAGAGTACGAGTATTGCAAATGAATTTAACGATTGTTATAGCACTTACTATTATATATAGAAGCTCATGGAAAACAGAATAATTTTATTAAAAATTATTTGAATTTTTGTAAATATCTTATCAAATAATAAAATCATAAAAATACTTGATTAACGTTTGTAGATTTAAATAAAAAATATTAAAAAATATTAAAAAATAGTTTTAATAATAATCATGTATTTTTTAATAATTTCACATTTAAAGGAAATAAAACTAATGTACTTTGATAATATTTTGGTTTTTAATAATAATTATTAATTTAATTTTATTTTTTGTATTAAATACAAAACAAAATATCGAACAATATGTAAAATCTTCGAACTGTCGACTTCTGCGCATGTTGGATTAGTCGGATGAATTATGTTATAATCAATGAAACTGGGAGCTCACAGAACACTGGTACCCAGGACTCGACTTCTTGAGAAGGTGATTATTAAGTGTGTTCCGAATTAAAAATGAGTTAGTTTCTTAGGTATTAACGTAATCAATAAAAGTGGCAACAAGTGATCATAATCATTGCAAGTGAAAACAAAAGCAATGCCTTATCTGCTTTTATGTATACACAAGATCAAATAATAATTACCGAACCTACTAATCTAATAAACAATAATTATTTGTAATATGACTTAAGTTACCATTAAGTATCATGTCGTTTCTATAACTCATGTAGTCAATTTATAATCTAATCAGACGATAAGTACTTATGAATAGAGGTCTATGTTGATTGCTTGAAAGCTAACAGCCTATTCAAAATTGTTACCAATATGAGTATTACGATAAGTTAAATATTATTTAATATAAATAAATAAAAAAACGTTAAGTAGCTGAAGTAGGATAAGGCTAAACTGATCAAACCCGAAAGGTACATTAGATCACATATTTGTTGTTGAAGTATATGAAGTGTGTGTAGTAGAAAGCACTTCTGAGAAATTATTTAACGAATTCTCAAAAAAATATTTGAGAATACGATTTTCTTTAACATGTAAGGTTTCTAGGTAATGTCTATTAGCTTTGTTTTTTATAATAATTTCGTTTGATAAATAGTCTTAACTAGTCCATAAATGTTATATATGAACCTGCACACAGCAAGACACCAACTCATACAAGGTTACCAAAATAGCACAGTACGATAAGATTTGAATAAAGTCACAATCCTTATCAAATGGCATTAACTTGGTACTACTTTAGCATTTTTATTGAATAAAACGATTCACTACGTATCCGGACGTTTATGT